ATTGACTTCTTTTAGTGCAGGAACTTAATTGAATCCAGTCCTTACAACTGGCTACAAAGCTAACAGAGCACCTATGATCAATCAGCAGGTTACATTTGCTCTGTTTATACATTTTAGTTAATGCTTACTACCAGCCCCATTTTTATATGGTTTGCCACTATTAAATGTAATACTGATCTAGAGATGACAAATGGGTCGAAACCCAAATTTCTTGTTAGACAGTCTGCTATCCTAAGCTGCCAGTCCGGAGAGGCACATGATGATGAAATCTGCTATTCTTCAGAATATAGAGCAGAAAACATTTTCTTCCTGCCCTATTATGTCAGGCTGTTCTTACAATACTGAACTCTAAAGGGATTCATTCCTTTTGTTTTCTTAGACAGAGAGCCATGACATAGAACTTGAAATTTAGTTCTATTTTACGAGATAACGGCTTCCGGGGGGCGGCGCGAACGGCAATGGCGGTCCTCTTCTGAACGGGAGAGGAGGCTCCGCAGACAACGGGTCGTCCGCTACGGCGAAGCGGAGACCCATTTCGGAAAACCCCAGGCAGCAAGAGCCAGGGTTCTGAGGCTCGGTGGGCGCCTTGAGCGACCCTCCAAGCGCGAAAGGAACCCCGTAAGGGGCTCCGGAGCGTGGAGGGGGGTTGCGGCGCTGAGAGCTGTTTCACAGTCTGCGGAGTGAAGCCGCGCTGCTGCTGCTGCCGGTGAGCGCTGATCCCTTTTCCTGTTAAAATACGGATTCGGAGGAAAAGCAACTTATTCGTGAGTAAAGACAAAATTACTTGAAATTAGAGACTTTAAAAGAAAAACTTTAATTGGTTTGAACTTGGCTGAAAGCGGAGAGACGTGGAAACAGGAAGTCCGTCTTCCGCAGCCATTGAACTTGAAAAAAGCAACTAGCCGGAGGAGTGGAGGCTGAAAGAAAGAGATTTTAAATTTTACAGATTTAAGCATCTACTGAACCTGCAATTCAAAGTAAAGACTTTAAGTTAAAGACTTGGAATTATTATTTGCACTTGACTTTCCTCCTTTTATTGGATTACAAATTAGAAGGTGAAACCCAGAGTCAGGAGCTGCCTGAGCATTGAGAGACTGAGCTGTCAGTACTGCAGATTTGGATACTGTTATTGGAACTTGCAACAATCTGAGGGTATTGAGACCCTTTAAATTTGAAACATTCTTTTTGGAGACAAATAAGCACTGTCTGTAACAAAGTGACCATTTATAAACTCTGCTAAACATTTGTATCTGAAGGTTCTTGGATATTAAATTGGACTTTGAAAGACATTTCAAGCTCCCTCTAGAGGATTGGATTAAAACAGTGACTTTACAGGTACATTTTACTTTCGATTCCCTTGTTGCTTGCTTGCTCTGGGCCTTTCTATTCCCATGGGAAAAACTCAGTGTGACCTTGACTGATTGATAACGTTGGAATGAGTGGCACAAGAAGGAGAGGGAGAGTTAGACAAACAACTTTAACAACTCTAACCTCAGCCTCGCAGACACGTAGATCATCTGTACCTACTTTGCCCTCAGAAGTAGAAGTTGAAGAAGTTGCCTTGTCACAGGCAAAAGAGGGAGAGGGTGAAGCAGAGCAGTTACAATTGGAAGATATGGCCTCAGGAGTATCTGTCTCTGTTCTAGACAAAATCTTTGAAAAATTGGAAGCTTTGGACAAGAAAGTAGATGTGCAAACAGCAAAGATTGACAAAAACACAGAATGTCTAAATAAATTAACCATACAAGTGGTACAGAACACACAAGCAATTGGACAGTTAACGGAGGCCTCAGCAGAAAATCGGAAATTGGCTGAGGATACCAGACAAAAATTGGAAAATTTAGAGCAAGAGGTAAGACCACTCACTAAACAAGTTGGGGAACATCAGATTTACCTTTCTATGATAGAACTGCGAAATCGTGAGAATAATCTGAGGATTAGATCATTACAAGAGGCAGAAGAAGGAAATTTAACTGAGTTTTTGACCAAAGAATTCTCCAAGTTCTGGAATTTGGAAGAAAAAGATTTTAAAATTGTGTCAGCTTTCAGACTTGGAAGATTCATAAAGAAGGAGAGGCCCAGAGACTGTTTGATAACATTGAGATCAAAGGAGGAAAGGGATAAGATTTTGGGCCTACATTACGGAAAGTCACTGGAGGTTTTGGATAGAAGAATTGAAATTTATAAAGATATTCCAAGACAACTGCTGGATCTTAGAGCCGCCTATTCTGAACTTGCTAAACTACTAAGGAGCAACGCAATTCCATTCAGGTGGGAATTTCCCCAAGGAATATCTTTCACCTTTAGAGGGAGAAAGGTCAAAGTTAGAACATTGGAAGAGAGGGACAAATTTTTGGCTACATACGGAGAGGACCTTCAAAAAGGAATTGAATTACCTTCTGGGCCTGGGGCAACGCCAACATCAACACCAGCACCTGGGGAACCTAAAGATCCAGAGAAGATACCACCCCTGGAGAAATAACCAGATTGAACCAGGATGTCTCTGCAACTGCTGAGTTGGAATATTAATGGTTGTAACATTCCGGAAAAAGGAAGAAAATATTTCACATATTAAAAAAGAACAATTGGACATTATTTGTCTACAAGAAACACATGTGACGAGGCTCCACAGAAAAGTGTTAATAAATAAAAGATTGGGCCAGGAATTTGTATCGTCGGACAAAGTCAAGAAGAGAGGCGTGGTGATATATGCAAAAGAGAGCCTGTCACCTAAATTTTTATTCAAAGATGAACATGGAAGAATTTTGGCTATTGAGATACAATATCAAGGAGAGAAACTGTTGATATTAGGAATTTATGCACCTAATGAAGGGAAATCGGAATTTTACAAGAAGCTGCAGGAGACAATGCTGGACTATCTGGATTACAACAACATCATAATGATGGGAGATATGAATGGGGTCGTATCAACTAACATGGACAAGTCACAAAGTCAAAATGTTACAAAAGACGGCAGACTACCTAAAACCTTTTTTGAAATGACTGACAATATGGACCTGATTGACATTTGGAGGACAAAGAACCCACTAGGAAGAGAAGGAACATTTTTTCTGAAGCCCAACTGACCTGGACAAGAATCGACCAAATATGGATTTCTAGAGGCCTGGCACCTAAGGTCAGAAAAGTGGAAATCTGCCCAAAGACCTGTTCCGACCATAATGCAGTAAAGATGGATATGACACTACTACCAACTGGATCCTTTAGATGGAAGATGAATGACAATTTGTTCAGAGATCAGGAAATTACCAAGAAGGCCCAAAAAGCTTTGAAGGACTATTTTGAGATAAATATGAATACTACGGTGGAAAAAGAATCGTCTGGGATGCAAGCAAAGCTGTAATGAGGGGATTCTTGATACAACAGAATGCAGTAAAGAAAAGAACACAAAATGAGAAAAAGATAAGATCGTGGATAAAATAAAAGAATTAGAGAAGAAATTAAGAGTGAATCCGAAGTCACAGCCAACTCTGAGAGAAATTAAACTTTATCAGACACAATATTCTAAATTGATAAATCAGGAAATTGAATGGAAGGTTAAATTAATGAAACAAAAAACGTTTGAGTCGGCGAATAAATGTGGAAAATTGCTAGCTTGGCAGTTGAAGAGAAGACAAAGATTAAATACGGTTACAAATTTAGAAGTCGATGGAAAAAACATTCAGAATCCAGTGGATATTAGAAAGTGTTTCCAGAGATATTTTAAAAAACTATACACTCAAGGGCCGCAAGACGAAGTTGAGATTAAACAATTTTTGGCAAAAAATGGACTATCTAAACTGTCACAAGAAAATAGGACAATCCTGAATTCTAAAATAACACGACAGGAGATTGAACAAGCCATCCAGAACATGCAACTCGGCAAATCTCCAGGGCCAGATGGGCTGACCTCCAAGTACTATAAGACATTAAAAGACTATTTGATACAACCTTTGATGGAGGTCAGCAATGAAATTATGGAGGGAAGAGGGCACCGGAGTCGTGGAAGGAAGCGTTCATCACATTAATACCAAAGTCGGAAGCTGAAAAGACACAACTTAAGAACTACCGTCCCATCTCCCTTTTAAATGTGGATTACAAAATATTTGCAGACATTTTGGCAAGTAGATTTAAAAAAGTTTTAAATGAAGTAATCCATAAGGACCAGGCCGGCTTTCTCCCAGGTAGACATCTGTTTGCTAATACAAGGAACATCATTGACATTTTGGAACTTTTGCAAACAGATATAAATACAAAAGCAGTTTTAATTTTTATAGATGCGGAGAAGGCCTTTGACAATATCTCCTGGAAATTTATGAAGGGAAATTTAAAAGAGATGGGAGTGGGACGGGGTTTTGAGAATGGGATTGAGGCGATATATTCAGAACAGAAAGCTAAATTGATAGTTAATAATGTGGTTACAGAAGAGTTCAAAATTGAAAAGGGACACGACAAGGTTGCCCTATTTCCCCTTTGTTATTTATCTCGGTTCTGGAAGTGCTATTGAACATGATTAGAGGGGATCGGTTGGTGGAAGGAATTCAGGTCGGTCAGAAACAATATAAATTAAAAGCTTTTGCAGATGACCTGGTTTTGACCCTGCAGAAGCCAGAGCCCAGTACGAAAAGAGTATTACAACTGATAAATGACTTTGGTCGGGTGGCTGGATTTAAATTAAATAAACAGAAAACTAAGGTTTTGGGGAAAAATTTGACAGATACAGAGTCAGAACGGTTTCAGAATGAGACGGAACTTAATGTGGTTAAAAAGAAAAATACCTAGGGGTAAACATAACAGTAAAAAATCTAAGTCTATTTAAGGATAACTATGAAAAATGCTGGTCAGAAATTAAGAGAGACTTAGATAGTTGGTCAAAACTGAAACTTTCTTTGTTAGGCCGAATTGCTGCTATTAAGATGAATGTATTGCCAAGGATGTTGTTTTTATTTCAAACACTTCAGGTTTTGGACAAAACGGAGTGCTTTCAGAAGTGGCAGAGAGACATTTCTAAGTTTGTCTGGCAGGGCAAAAAGCCCAGAATTAAGTTTAAGATATTAACTGATGCAAAACAAAGAGGGGGCTTTGCCCTGCCAGACTTAAAGTTGTATTATGAAGCCGCAGCGTTCTGCTGGCTAAAAGACTGGCTACTTCTTGAGGACACTGATGTGTTGGATCTGGAAGGGTTTAACAATGCCTTTGGATGGCATGCATATTTATGGTATGACAAGGTTAAAGCAAATAAGGCCTTTAAGAACCATATTGTCAGAAAATCATTGTTTAATGTCTGGATAAAATATAAAGACTTGCTGGAAAATAAAACACCAAGGTGGCTTTCACCTCTGGAAGCTAAGGCCCGAAAAAGACCCAATATGGAGGCTAGATGGCCAAAATATTGGGAAATACTAGAAAAGGATGGAGACAATTGGAAATTGCAGAGTTTGGAGAAAATGAAAGACAAAGTGCGAGATTGGTTACACTACGCTCAGATTAAAGAAGTTTTTAAAAATGATAAGAAATTAGGGTTCCAGGTGGAGAAATCGAAACTAGAAACAGAATTGTTAGAACCAAAGATTAAGGTACTTTCAAGGATGTATAACTTGCTGTTGGAATGGAATACACAAGATGAAACGGTTAAATCGGCTATGATAAGGTGGGCACAGGACATTGGGTATAATATTATGTTTGAGGACTGGGTAAGGTTGTGGAGTAATGGATTGAAATTCACTGCATGTAACGCTTTGAAAGAAAATGTAATGAAAATGATTTATAGATGGTATATGACCCCAGTCAAACTTGCAAAAATTTACCACCTGTCTGATAATAAGTGTTGGAAATGTAAAGAGTGTGAGGGAACGTTCTTCCACCTCTGGTGGACTTGCCCTAAAGTGAAGGCGTTCTGGGAAATGATTTATAATGAATTGAAAAAGGTATTTAAATATACCTTCACTAAGAAACCAGAGGCTTTCCTTTTGGGTATTGTCGGCCAAGGGGTGGCAAAGAAGGACCAGACATTTTTTATGTATGCAACAACAGCAGCAAGGATACTTCTCGCAAAACATTGGAAAACTCAAGATCTACCCACACTGGAAGAATGGCAGATGCAACTGATAGACTACATGGAACTGGCTGAAATGACCGGCAGAATTCGTGACCTGGGAGAAGAGAGGATGGAGGAGGATTGGAAGAAATTTAAGAACTATCTACAAAAATATTGTGATTTGAGTGAATGCTAAATAAGATGCTAGATTAAAATAACTGAGCACCACTTAACTTAGAAGTTTTTAAGAAAACAAGTAAGACTGTGAAAGTTTAACTCTTTTTGAGAATTATAAGACTATGAAATATTGAAGGGATATAAGAATTCAAATAAGATGATAAATTGCTGACAAAATGTTATAACGATGAAAGTGGGAGCGGGAGATGTGAGGAAGTCCAAAGAAAATGTGAAACTATGTTAAGACAAATGTTATATTGTTTATTATGTTTATTCTTATTGTAAAACCCAATAAATTGCTTTAAAAAAA